TGCATGTTAGCACATATGGATAAGTGCTAGAAGTCATCTTCCATCTTTCTAAGAAGATATGATGACTCCAAAAGCTTAAGCTCTATCAGCTTCAGGCCAAAGCCCAGGCCTGCAGACAGGTTACATGCTGTCACAGCCATGGAGACATTGGGTATTGGATTTTGGCAGGCAAAGGGAGGTGCAGGAAGGTCTGGAATGGCTGCTATAGCTGTGTGAGGAGGAAGACCCTCATTTCTGAAAAGAATCTGATTCTACTGAGTCTATTCCCTACAGTTGCTCCCAGGCAACTGTTTGGTTAACATACTGGTGAGAACTCTGGTTGGAATGTGGGCTTATGAGGAACGCATCTGAGCAGTTCATTAGCCCACTCACGTTTCCCCAGCTCCATGTAGTTCTGCCTCAAGGTTGATGATGACACCCAGCCTGGGTGGGTATGCGCAGTCAGAAAAGAAATGAGAGCAGAAGTTTATGGGCTGATCCACTATTTGGGGAGGGGGTAATGATTACATTAGAAATTGTCAAGAAGGTTAAGGGCTTCTTGGAAGCTCACTGCTGCTACCCATTTGCAGGGCTGGCAGCAGCAGAAGGAAGGTACAGATATCTGTACTTCAGGGTGGCTATATTAGCCAGTGTCAGCTCCTCCACAGACAAGCCATGTCCTCTAGACCTTAACCAAAGTTTATTCCTTTTACTACCTTCCACCTCAACATTTGCTTCCAACCTAGCCTCGCGATCTGAATGCAACTTGTAGTACTTTGAATTCACAAGAGGGTTTGATTAACCTGACAGTTACATGCATTGAATATTTTTTCCAAAAACTGACATCCAATGACCTGTCAAGTCTAATTCTTGTGTGTGTTTGTGTTCCAGAATGGAGTTATCTTGCAGGTTCTTTGGTGGGAGATAGAAGAGGTAAGTTTTTAGAATAGCGCATCTAAGGACCCAGACAGGGATCATAGTAAAGACAACTGTCATAGCAGCCACTGAAGATCTCAAAGTGACACCTTTTCATTATTCCCCCAAATACATATGATATTATATTTTATTTTAAAAAGGTTATTGTCAGAGGTGCCTATTTCTGACCAATTCTTCATTTCCTGGGGGAGAATAAAGAGCAAAAGCAACTTATCCCTTGGTAGGTAGACTTCAGTAAGTAAAGGCATGCCCTGAGCACATGGGGAGAAAAAAAAAGGAGGAGGAAATAGAGAAAATAAAGGGGACAGAGGAGACAAAATAGAGGGAAGATATTGGAGGGAAGCTTATTTCCTGAGTATAGTCAATCCAAAGATATCATGAGCAGCAAATTAAACAATCCTTCAGCAAGAATTTTGACAATGAAATTTCATTAGGGATTTAAATCTCTATGGAAGCTCAAGTTGCTGTATTAAGATTTGAAAATTGTGCAAATATTGTTCCTTAGAAGGATGTTTGCTGCAGGTCATTGAGTTTCAGTCAGTGAAATTTAGATTGATAAATGTCCTGTTGAAAATAACTAGAGGAGGAAGGGTTCCAGGAGTGGCAGGAAAGAGCCCTGCAGTGGGGAGCTCAGACCCTAGAGTTATTTGGAAGGAAAATGAGAGTTCAGTATTAACTAGCTGCATAAACTTGAGCAAGTTTATTTAGTATATCTGAGGCCTAATTTCCAAATCTATAAAATGTGGGCAATTTCCAAGATATTTGCTGCTGGACTATGATTGAGAACATCTAATAAAATAATCCTAGGTAAAGCTGTGGGGCACAGTACCTGGCACATGTAACATCAAAACATATAAGTGATGATGAAGGGCAGAGGGCTAACATTTCCCTGGCATTGACTCAGTCAATTTCTGTGATGAACTCCTAGAGGTACTACCACTACTTTGCTCAGATGAAAAGCCTGAGGTTTGGGAGCTTAATAAATCAGCCATAGTCACAAAGGGTTAAATGTTGCAGCACATTCACCTCTGTTTCAATATAACATGCTATTCCCCTTACCTATTCTGTGAGGTCCTCAGAGCCTAAATTGTATTTGTACAGCTTGTATTAACAGAATCTTACTGAGTAGATGGTATGTTGTAGCTGCTCAGAAAATATTGGTGGAATGAATTAATGATTACACAAATAAATAAATGGATGGAGGGATCAATGGATGACATAATGCCTTTCCATTTAAATGGAGTCTCAGACTCATCCATGAACTCTCAGTACTTATCTTTTTTTTTCTATTTGTAGGAATTCTGACATTTTAACTCAGGCAGTGATATGCCATTTTATAGAAAACAGGAGTAAAAAACAACTTCCTATAATTTCACAACCCAAATACTAAAAGTCCCTTTTGAGTATATATCCAAAAGCATGTAAGACTACATAAAATAAGGACACCTCTACACCCATATTCATAGCAGCACTGTTCACAATAGCCAAGTAATGAGATCAGCCTAGGTACACATCAACTGCTGAAGCGTAAAGAAAATATTATATGTATGTGTGTGTGTGTGTGTGTGTGTTGGGGTGTGTGTGTGTGTGTATGTTTATTCAGCCATAAAAAAGAATGAAATTATGTTCTTTTTAGGAAAATGGATGAAACTGGAAATCATGTTAAGTGATCAAGGCTGAGAAAGGCAAATATCAGATATTACTTGTTCCCACTCGTGCAGAATCTAGACCTTAAAAATGAATGACAAGAGTATAAAAAGAGAACACTATTTGGGAATATGAAGCAACAGGAGAGAGGAAGGTGAAAGGAGAGGTGGAAGGGGGAAAATGTGCTCAAAGTAATTCATAAGCATGTATGAAAACAGTGAATTTTATTAAAAGTTTTTTAAAAGGAATAGGGGGTTAAGAAAGAGTAATAGGGTGACTTTGATCAAAGCACATTATATGCATGCATGGAAATATCACAGTGAAATCCCTCTGTGCAATTAATATTCACTAATAAAAAGAGAGAGGAAAAAAGTCTTCGTGTACACTAAAACAAAAAGCCAAACAATGACTTCTTTTTAAATGTAAGATTCAGAAATAATTAACTTCCTCTTAATAAAATAATAAAATATAAAATCCTCCTCTGAGTATTTTAATATATTTCTTTTCCAACTTTAGGTCAAAGGCTGTTCTTTTGCAATTTTATATAAAAATAATTTTGTATTTTCAAATAACTGAAATATTTCATACTGCTATCGTTTTAATGGCAAATTACTAGACGAGGCAAGATGTTCAATATCTTTACATGAAAGATACCCCACTTACTTGTTATTTAGAACATTTCCATGCTTTACACCACAGTAAGTATTGCTGCACTAAATATTTTTGTGCATGTAAGGCCTAGGCCTTCAGGGCCTTAATTATTTTTCTCTGAGGAGCACATAGTCATTAGGGTGGGTATAACCAACTTTTGTAATGATGGACTCTGACATCTAATTGTATACCAAGATTTGATCAAATTGTTTAAAGGGAGATTATTTTACCTATTTGTATAATATACAGGGCTTTGCTCGGTATCCTGTACTTAATAAATATTTCAGTCATATATGAAAAGGAAGGGAGGAAAGGGAAGAAAAGGAAAGGAAGGGAACGGAGGAGAGGGGAAAAGTAGAGAGGAAAGAAGAGGAGAGGAGAGGAGAGGAAAGGAGGACGGGGAGAGAATGAGAAACAAATAAGGAAACTAGATATATCAAAGAAACTTTCTTTTAAAGAGAAAAAGAAATTGAGGGAAATAAGAAACACCCAAATATGTGTCTCTAATCCCAACCATGAACAGCCTTTCAGACACCAGTTTAACAAGTAGCCATGACCACAGGAAAAGACATGCAGCACTGCATAACAGCATCCTATCTGGATAATTCCTAAAGAACAGTGCTTCTTTCACATATCAGAGAACAGAAATATCTAAGACTAGATTTTAGCAACCTTCACTCATTCTTAAGAAATTTGTAAGGAAAAGAGTAGTTAACCACTGCATGGTGGGTTGCCTTGCTGAGATAAAACACATTTACATTAAAAGAAAACTTTCTTTGTTTAAATAGCTTTACATTTATCTGAAGAAATGTGGCTAGAAATTCATGGGGGAAATGAAAATACAGATTTGAACGATGCTGAAAGGTGATTAGACATGTTCATTGTGTGACAAAATCCATACTCACTGGCATAGCAATCTCTCTTGTCAATAGAAAATATTTTGCTAAACTCTGAGTCACGCATGTTCATTATTCACAAAACCCCAGCATGGCTTTTATGATTTGAAAATTCCTGTCATTATCTTCACTAACTAAATTGCTGATCCAATTTAAAAAAAAAAAAAAACTCTCTCTCTTTCTTTTCTTTTTCAATGATTCAGTCGCAGCAGAATTTGAAAAAGCAAAAAACTAGAGATGAAATTTAAAAATCACATTTAACTAGAACTGGGCATTTTAATATAGCAAAGTACTTTGGAATCCATATACAAACAGAAACTAGGAACTAATAGTATTTTTAGTGGTAAATTTTCTTTTTTCATGAAGAAAAACTTTCTTCAATACTGTAATGATGCTTTGCAAATCATGTTGTTCAGAAGAATGGAGTTTTCAAAGTTTGTTTGAAATCGTTACGCAGTTTTAAATGTGTATTTTCTTATTGTAATAAAATAAATGTTAATATTTTGCTATCATCACCAATTACCAGGCAGGATATCAGAAGTCATATGATAATATAGTTTGCATAACATTCTTTTGGGTAAATAATAAGTTTGTCAAAGGGTGGGATTGGGGGTGAGCCTAGCAGCCAGGCAGCAGGATTTGCTGGGAGTTCATTAACCCCCAGATGTTAGAGGTGTGGATAAATCTGGAGGCCAGGGGCCCTACCTTGGAGAAGACCTGGACCAAGTTGGCTCTAAGAACACTTTGAACATTAACTTTATCACCACCTTCTGCTCTTGGCAGCTTTCAGAGACACGTGAGTGAAATGCAAACTTCAGAAGAATTAACAACCATTGCTCACAGGAAGGGTTGCCTATATACTGCATTAGACAGAAAAAGTGCATGACCTACTTGGATCTGATAAGATGGAGTCAGTTTTCGGCAGAAATTGATCACAGCGGACTCCTTGGTAGCCTTCTTTGCACCTAAGAAGAAGGGATAAATGACAAACATATGCATGTGGTTGTGACAGATTCATTTCCAGACCTCAACAAGTAAAATAGCCAACAATTAACATAAATGTGAGAACAGTATATCTAGGCTCTCCTATTATTTGATTCAGTCTGTTCCTGACATTGTCAGGCAGAGTTTATTATTTTATTTCTGTGCAAAACAAAGCAAAAACCAAAATCAAACACTTTTTCTTTTATAGTTGTATATGCAATATTTAAGGAACAAATTGAATAGCATTTTAAGATGATCTAATTAGCAATCTGAATAATGATTAATCTCATATGATAATTCTGGGAGCGGGTGTCCTCCCTTTATACAAGACTCTGGTGTCTAAATGCATTCAGAAACATCACAAGTGCCATTTTTTTCTTATAAAAAGTCTAATATAATATAATAATACATCAGTTATGGATTTTAGCTACCACTTTCTTCATTTTCTTATGTTTTATTAGTTTGCTCATTTGCTAATTTTACTTTTTTGAGTTTATTTCTAGTTTTTCTTCCCATCAGCATCACATAATCACTTTTGCCAAAAATATCAGCATTTCATCTGGCAAGGTCTGAGAGGCATCATTCTAAGCTCACATTTTTCTCTCCCCATTTTCTCTTTTATATTCAGCAAACGTGCAAAGTGCCTAGTTTCTGCCAGGTACTGCACAGGCAACTATCCTGAGGTGGATGCAATTTGGAGGCTAGGAATTTGTCTGGAAGCACCAGCAATGAGGCATGTCACACAGCCCTGCCAGACTTCCCCAGCTCGTTCAATCAGGACTGCTTGGCTGCCTTGGACAGCACAGCACATGAGCTGGCAGTTCAGGGGACCAAATACAGCCAAGGCCCCAAATGCTGCCTCCAAGCCATCTCTTTAAGTAGGAAGGTGGCATTTACAGGTCTGCTTGAAGCTTAATCTGTCATGCTTGAGTTAAGCAGGGAAGCATCCATTGTTGCTTGTGGGATGCATCTGTCCTACTTACAGAAGGGGAAATTGTGCCACTGGCATAAAAATCAGATTTAAAAAACAATCCTCTGGTTGTTAGAAATCTATAAAATTGACCAAAAAAATAAAATCAAAGAGACAGTTCTGTTAGAGATGAGAGTTGTGAATTCTTTCCTTAGAATATGATTTGTTTTCTGAGTGTAATAAACTATCAGACAAGGTTTGTTGCAATTGGGGCAGCACTATTGAAAAGCACATAGGTAATTTTTCTACCTTTCATTGGGAGCCAAATTGGAAATCAGGTAATCAGGCAGGCTCTCCTCAGCACCTTTTAAAGCCTGGCTCTCTCAAGTGTATTTGGCAATTTTCGTCATAGACTGAGAACAAAGACCTCTCATATATGGATAGTTTAGAAGCCTCACAAACTACTGAAAGAATTTGTTTATGCAGACACATATTTTCTTAACCTTTAAAAAATTATTTACTGCACTTAAAATAAAGCAGGCATATTGTTTATTTCATAATGGCAAAAAGTCAGAAAATACTTAGGCCTGAAACACATTTGTGATAAAATAAGTAAATTGTTTCCTGAGAGCTGTCTTCTTGTTGAGATCTTGCCTTTATTCAGAATTATCTGTACTACAGAAGTTCTGCGATTGTGGGACAATATGTACCCCCTTTCCACAGATTTTTTTCAAACATGTGGGAAGATTTTAAGTACCCTTTATTATTTGTATTTTTATTTAATATGAAAATGGTATCCTAGGGGGATGGTAGCTTTTAAGGGGAAGTGCTGTTTTTGTTTTGTTTTGCTTTTTAAACATTCTTTCTTTCTTAAAATCCATTATCCCATTTGTGGGTGGAAAAGAAAATAAGGAAAAAGGTTTGAAAATTTTCCAGTCTTAAACTGATTTGCCATGGGTACAAGGCCACTTGGAAGTATTGAAGCCTCTGAAAAAATTGCAGGGCCAGTAATTTCCTGCAGCCTTCATCCCTGTGGGCTGCAGATAGTAAAGCAGACAGTGTGGCAGCAGCCTCGTTCAGGCTAGGAGGCTCACCAGGAGCAGTGTGGCCATATGCAAGGCAAGCCCTGCTCCTTTGTGAAGGAGGCAGCAGTCATTCCTAAGTGGTGCAGGGTTTGAAAATAATGTACTAAAATTCTCATTTAAAAATCACACACATATCACCTTGATACGTTCAGACTCATCCAAATGTGAAGATGGAATGCTACTGGCAGACCATGCCAGGGAAGTGGACTGGACTTATGACAATAAAAGACAAGATGTGAACACAGAAAAGTCTTCCAAAGTACTTCTGCACAGATTGAGGTTGGTGGACCTTTGCAACCTCGAGTGTGATAAATGTGTCTTTTGAGAAATAGGATTGTGTTGCCTGGTTTTGTTTCTTTAGCTTGGAGGGTGGTGACAGTATTTTTGTGTTGTTTGTCTGTTTGTTTGTTTTTCCTTTTTGAAAGACATCAGTACAAGAACAAGATAAATTTACATATTAGAAATGTCTTTCTGTTTGTCCTCTTAATGCCTGAGAGAAAAACATTAAAAAAGTGCATATACAATTTTTAATAACAAATACATTTTTAAAAGTGCAAATATTGCATTCACCAGGTTATTATTCTATTATTTTCTACCCTGCCATGCCTGCAAAACTTCACTCAGTCCATCTACTACCTTTTCTCTGTATTTCTTTATCCTTTGGAGCCTTGCATCATAGCAAGTATATTAGAAATTGCAACATTACGCTGTTGTTTTATGGGTACATTTTGATTCTACAACTAGATGGTATAAGAGCAGGGAACAGTCTCAGGCAATGAAACACAGTCAAGGCTAACAAACAGTTTAGTAAAGAAAGTGAGAGAATTATTATCAACAGTGAAATGACCAAAAAACAAACACAGTTTGCAAGAGTTGAGAAATTTTATTTTGAAAATAAGTTAACCTCAAGTTCTATTAGTTTACTCTGAGGTGAAGTTATGCCTTTAGAAATCACTAACTTCATGAATTGGCTAGTTGTTTTATTTGCATATTTAACAGGCTAAAGGGAAGGACATTGTTGAGGTGACAATGTCCAAAGCAGAATAGGGCAGGTGGGAGGTTTTAGAGATAACTATGATGGAGTTGCTTATATACAATGCAGGAGAGGGTGTGGTGAAAGGGCTGGAGATTCACTTCTTAAATATCAATAAAGGTCTTTCCTGATGAGCCACAGGGTCAAGTTACAACCCAGAGTCCCCTTCTCAGGGACTGGGGTAGCTGTGCAGTTTCCAGTGCAGACATTACTTTTTCTCCTCCTTACATCTCTCCAGCTTTGTTCTCACACCCTTATCACTTATTCAGCTGTATTGAATTAACAGACATCCCTTTCAATCAATTTTCCTCTTCTACATTGTCCTTGAGAAAAAGTTCAGTGGGTGGTTATACTGAATATTTTAAAAAAAGAAAATATGAGAAAATAAAAAATGCATTGTCTTTGATTTGGATCCAATATCATTTTGTCCAGCCTGATGAAACCCAGGCAGTCAACATATCACCAGCCTACATGTGGAAGATCCCAAGGAAGCAACTTCTAAAATATTTAGGGCATGTGTTGATGTTCCCACAGAAACCAACTTTGGCCAGCTTAAAGTGATGACAATGGCCATTGACCCATGGCTAAACTCAAGCCAGTTAATTCTCATCTGCCTGTTGATTTATTTGAGCAGATTTCCTATATAAGTTAGGCCTAAGAATTATCAATCATCTTCAAAAGCTTCCTAACTCTTCAGATTATTCTAAAATTTCTCCCTCCTTCTCCTGTTAAGAAAATAAAACAGGAGGATCCAAGATGGCAACTAGGGTGCAGAAGCAGACAGCATGAACTCCATAAATCAAAAATCTTGCTAAGATGCTGGAGCCACACTTGGTAGATATAAAGCACCAAGAAGAATCAAAACTTCAACACCCTGAACCCCCAGTCCATAAAAAGCTTCTCCATGCTGTGTTACAATGAGAAAACAGGAGGGCTCCAATGTCTCCAGACAGTGGCTCCAAACCTGCTTGAGAGACATCCGGCAGACCAACAGGTGAGCACCAAGCATCATGCGGTATTCCCACAGCCAAGCCTAGGATAAACCAGCATAGCCCCTGGACAGAATGACTCCCCGCATGGCAAACAAAACAAACAAAACTGAAAATAAACAAGGAACTGAAAACAAACATGAGCAGAGTGGGTAGGGTGCTGTAAGCACAATGGAAAAGGAGGGAGGATCAAGAAGCTGATCTCCACATGAATTTATAGTAAATAAAGGCTGAAAAGACAGAAGGGCTGACAGTGGGCAGGTGCCTGAAATAGGGCAGGTAGCAGTCCACAAAGCTCATCTCCTGAGCCAGTGAGCAACATCCAAAGTCAAATGACACTACAAAATTGAAAAACAATCAGCAAACCATCACAATACATTGATAGCAGGGGGCCAGCTGGTGGATCACTTCTTGCCCCAGAAGAAGGAGGCAAGGCAAACAAACAAGCCCCCAGTAAACCAACACAGTGAAAACTCAACCCCAAAGCAGGATGGGTGGTAGGCTACAGATCTGATCTCTGGAACATGAGGACAAGCCACACCTCACTAAGGGAGGAGCTGACTAAGTAGCTGCTGCTGAAAGACAGAAAAAAAAAAAATAAAACTGGTGAATCTCCCCAGCCACCTAGTGAGACTAAGACAGAGCTTCTGCTTAAATACCAACACCAGGACTGGATGCTGAAGGAGTAACATCAGAACTACTAAGACTGAAATTCTATTGTTCCTGAACCTGGAATTCTTTTGTGGGATTGTTTGTTTCTTTCTTTCTTTTGCTTCTTGTTTGTTTGTTTGTGTGTGTGTGTCCATCTTTCTCTGTTGATTTCTTTGCTTTTTTGTTTGTTTGTTTTGTCAGTTTTACTACTGTGAGTTAGCTAATACTAAATTACACACAGACCAGGGATAGAAATAGCATACATACACTAACCTAAAAACCCAACACACACAAAAAACAAAATTAAACCAAG